AATGAAGTGAGGCAAAAGTTGCTCGTAAAATGTGTTCACTGCTCATACTTTGATGTTATTGTAGCTGATGAGGAAGGAAGGACCAAAGGGGCCACTGGAGTCTGCGTCATTCAACGTCTTGATGTCTGTCAGCCATCACCAGCCTTCAGTCTGGACCTTTGACCCCCGCATTCTTAGGATTGACATCACCGGTAAATGTTCCATTTGTTTATATTACCAAACGTTTCCCTGGAATAATCTGTTCCAGTTATTTTTTTTTAAGCGACGTGCATCTTTTTCGCTATGTAAAACGCTCCCCCATGTGTCTTAGTAACAAATGCGGCGTGCTTTTGTCAAATTACCGCCAAGGATCAAAAATGATAGTGCACTTAACTCAACCTCTTGTCACGCTAAGAAAGCCTATTTTAGGGGCCGGCTATGTTTCGTGCACATGAGTTACTTTGTTCACCACCTCATACACTGCTGGGTGAGTCTGGCGTTTGTTACCATGACAACTGAAGGCGGAGCCTGAGTCTTGCAGCTCGAGTCACTCACTTCTACTTTAAGGTGCACAGCCCAAAGGGTCACGGAAGACAAAAACGCCAAATAGTCATAATGACTATAAAAGTACAGTGGCACTTTGATTTACGAGTTTAATTTATTTTATGACCAAGCTCGTAACTCAGTGTACTTATCAATGAAATCAATGTTCACCGTTGAAATGAATTCATGTTCCATTATTCCGTCTCACTTCCATTTTTTGGCGTGGTGTTATGTTTTTAACAAAGAAAATTAGCACTTCCTTGAATAAAAACAAAACAATGTCCATTTATAAATCGGTTTTATACGAAGTAATTACCGTACTTGGGAACAAGAGAAAAGTCACATCAACAGCTGTGCGCCTCTAAGCAAGGGAGTTGAAACGGATTCGTTTCTTCGCGAACACAAATATGAATGTGTCCCATTCTGTGCTTATGAAATAATTTAAGTGTGCTGTACAGTCATGTCTCTTAGGTTTGTGTGCATTTTCATGTGGAAATAACACGTGCCATGGTGTCACTTGTGTAATGACTGCAGAGTGAAATGAATTTAATTCATTTAAAAGTTATTTGGACAAAATAATTTCCAGCATTCTGACATCCTATGTTCCAAAATCTGGAATCCAGCCAGCCCGGTCTCTCGTTCACTTTTGAAGGGTTTCGATGTAGTAGTGCACAGCGCCGCTTTCTGGCTGGATGGTAGAACTACAGCATTTTCAGAAGGCGAGCACAACCGGGCTTCTTGGAATTATTTACATGATAAGAGTATTGAATTCATCACACAGTAATTTAGGCATTGGTAATGTGCCGGTTTAGACATAATAAAGATGTATGCTGGAACACAGATTTCGATTTTATGACGTGGATAAATGCATACGGCGTAAAATCACATCATCAAATACAGCATACGTTCTGTATTCCTGTTATATTTTGTGTTATTATAGTTTGAGCAGTAGCGAAACAAATCCACAAATTATAATTGTGAATATATACTGCACTGTGTATGTCATTTCACATATTTGCAATGACATGGTTTAGCAAAGGCATGTTATTAACAGTGTAAAATGGATTGTTTTTTTCCCCCATTTTTCCAACGCTTCAAATTGACCCCGGAACACTGCTGTAGCTTAAAAAAAAAAAGGCATTTTTTTTCTCTTACTGTCGCTGTTTTCCTTTATAATCTCCTATGAAGCAACTCATAACAATCGGTAAATGTGAAAACTACGAGGCCTTATCTCTGTGGACATCCCAACAATGGACGAAAACATGGCACAACCATCATGGGACTCGCTAAATCTGAAATACGCTTCAGCTTTATGTTGGGTGAACCCATTCGGCTGTACAAAGGTACTAATTACGTGGACTCACTACCTGTTGGGTTACCGTGCAAGTGTTTTCAAACTTCAGCAACCTGCTGTGTAATTCTCCGCTTCCCACGCAGCTACCAAAATGGCGTCCGGCCTCAGGCCACCTGCCACACGGACCACAGCGTGCCCAGCGTAATGCTGTAGGCCACCACGGCCACCAAGTAGACCCTGAAGAGCAACACGTCCAGAACGTAGCCCACCTGCAGCCACTCCTTGGCCACCTCGTTGCAGCGGTCCCGCTTCTCCAGGAAGTTGCGTATCGCCGTCACCTCCTGCAGGATGTTGCTCACGACGGGTGGCGACGGGTCCCTCGACGGGGGAAGGCCCCGTCCCAGCAGGGTGGCCTCCCTTTCGTGCTGCCGGCCGATCTCACAGGTGTGATGGAGCATACATTGGACTGAGGAGGATGAAGACAGAAGGACAAAAAGTGTAACTGCTACTTGACTGAAGCCCCGCGCTTCTCTGTCAACAAATGCAGTGCAGCTCAGTTGCTAGCTACCAAACCAGGATTTTTTTTTTTTTTTTTGCGTACCGGGCAACGCAAATCACCCAATAGCTCACCAGTCCCATAGTTGTCATCCTTGTAGTCAGCCATATCTGAGGTCTGCGAGGAGAGTCTGGAGCATAATCGGTGCTTCTTGTGGATGCAGAAGAGGGCCGGCGCTCTCTCCAGAATCAGGTACCTCAGCCAGTGAGGCACAGGGGGCTGCAGGTCCTGCTTGTGCACCAGACGCACGATCAACACCGTTTCCGTCAGGCTGATCACCAACAGGGCCATGCAAACTACGAAATATACGCCTGCGACAGAGGAGAGACGAGGTCAGGTCAGTGAAACGGACGCCATCAAACAAAATGGGCCTTCCCTATCGTCACCGATGAGTGGCGTTCCAATGGCGGTGGCGGGCAGAGTGTCGGACACAATGATGAGGAAGACGGAGTATCCCAGCAGCAATGTGATCTTGAAAGAAACTCTCTCGCCGCTGTCGGGTGGCAGATAGAAGCCCACGATGTCCATCACCATGAGGAAGATGCTGGGCAGCAACAGGTTGACCGTGTAGAAAAGCGGCCGCCGACGGATAACCACCTGTTGACATTTTTGGAAGGTATTTATTTTAATAAGCACCTCTGTTCTTTTTCCACTGTTTTTGTGTGTATACAGCAGACCGCGGGGGTAATCCAAACTACGGCCCGGGAGCCATTTTGTAGCCCGCCGTACTTGTTTTTTTTTTTTTGTTGTTGTTGTTTTTAGCAGCAGCAGCAATGGCATACACTAAAATTAACATTTGACATGGCCCGCAACACCCTAAACTACTTCTACGAATAATAATGCATCTGTTATCTATACGGCGATTCCGGAGATGCTAAGAAACTAGTAACAAAACGTATCTTAATAGTGAATGAATATTCTGAAGAGATACACCCACATGGAACTTCATCTCGGCATAGTAGTCGTCGTCGTCCACGCTGAAGATTTTGTAGTTGGATAGAATATGAAGCAGCTCCCACTCTCCTTGGTTCATGAAGACGCTCTTGTCCTCCCTCAGCTCCTCGGGACTGCGCATCAACGTGATGTTGATGTCATCAACTGCCGATCGAACGCAATGTCAGGAGCAGCGTGAGACCGCCATGGCAACGACTTGCCCCTTCAGTGAGGCCTCGGCTTTCTGAGCACACATCCCAGCAGGGGCGGACGCAACGTGAAGCTCCGTTTCGGGAATGGTGAGATACCTGGGAGTTTTCAGTTTGGGTTGTTTGGCAAATGGTGTTTATGGCGGGGTCGCGGTGCTGTCTGAGTATACGCCCGACGTGGCGCTTTGGAATTACAGCTTGTCAGAAGTTCACAGTCAAGCAAGACTTTTAACCCTTTCAACCACCCTGCAACCTGATAACATGGTAAGCTGTCCACCGTAGTAACCACTGTGCCTGAAAGGGTTAATGTCAGCCGAGGAGTCATGTTTCCTTTGACTGCCCTAATAGTAGAATCCCCCCGCCCCCCCAAAAAAATAAAAAATAAAATAAAATAAAAATGACTAAAATGCTTCAACAAATGACACAATTGAAATGAGCGGTCGTACTTGTATGGAGCCAGCTCTGGAAGGTCAGGCTGCATTTCTGGACATCGAATGGGAAATTGTAGATGTTGAGCGTGCAGGCGGTGACCACTTGGATTGGTTTGTAGTTGCGCACCAGTCCGTCGTGGGTCACATAGACGTACGGTATGTCAGGAGACTTCCCCACGTCAACGCTGTTTTGACAGAAGATGCCAAAAAAAAAAATGTCACCATTTTTGCTGGCATGTGCAAAAAAGACGACGAACACTTTCATCAGCCTTACAACTCATTGATGAGGATATCCGGCACCCAAACGTTGGCAGTCGGTAGAGAAATTTGTTTAACCTCATCAAAGTCTTCGGGATTCCAGACCAGGAATTCATCCGTCCATGACTTGAAGGTTCAAGAATGGAAGAAGCTTAATGGAACCACTGCACAACATCCAATAGCAGTTATAGCACTGACAAATAGATGGACTTTGCATATTATGTGTTTACCTGTCTGTACCACACATACGTTGTCAAGACCTGGTTCTTCTCATCCTTTTGAATTGGAAAAGAAAACGACAAAAAATGTTGACATGAATTCCTTTTCCATGAATCGGGTATTCAATTTAACAATTGGAGCATCTGGTCATATTCAAAAGCATTTTGTGACGATACCAGGCATCCTCACCACGTTGAGGATGGAGTAAACCATCAGGTCGATGGCCACCAGGGTGGAGGTCCGCCAGTCTTTCACGGGTCGCACCCCTTTCTTGTAGCCCGCACTCAAAAACTCGGAGAGTCGTACCAATGTGGCGTTGGCAAATCGGCCTGTGCTGCTGCCCAGTTTCCTCACTGAATTTTATTTATTTTTTTTGAATAACCATCGTATTATAATACATTGGATACCAATTTTTGGTATGCAAACAAACTGGTATGAGAATTAAAATGTAAACAAACTGGTATGAGAATTTAAAAAAAAAGATATTCTGTACCTGTGCAGCTTCTGGCTGTCCCCTGAATAACAACCAAGAGGACCAGCGTCGTCCAGGCTGACGTTGGTCTCATTGTGACCGTTCACCTTCTTCTTCTCGTCCCGCTGCGCAAACCTCGTTAGCGTCACCCGACAAGCGAGAGTGAAGCCGAACCTCGGCGAGAGGCCACTCCTACGCAGAACACTGACACGGTGAGCAAAAGCAAAGCTGAAAAAGGGGGGCAAGGGTGTGTGTGACCAGATAGTGTGTCAAGACAATAATTGAGTTATGGTGCCTTCTCGGTTGCATGGTACCGAATCCAAAATGCTAACCAGATAATCATCAATGTGCCGCCTGCGCGGTGCCGCGTTAACGACCATTGCTCAAAAAATGTGTAAGCTTATGTTATATTATTAATTATTATTATTTTATATTTGAGCATCATATTATTTCATGTTAAGAATACCTAAATTATATTCTGTTGTTTAATAATTGCTTCGACATGTTTTTTATGTTGATAGGTTCTGATTGGCTGTTGAAGTCAGAGAAGCAGGAAGTGATTTTTAGTTACGAAGAGAGTTGTGTTCTCGAGCGTGCTGTGGTGCAGACGTCTTTTTTTCCTCCTTTTAATCATACTTAAAAATTACTAATACTAAAATACTAAAAAATAATTTTCCATCTCTTCTTTTGCCGTTCGTAAAGTAGGGCTATCCACTAAAAACAACGAACCCCTCAACTTCCAAATGTATTCATAATAAGCGGGTGAGAGATTGGTCGCCATCTTTCGGTTTACCGTACCACTGACTTTGCACACCAGTCACAAAACAGAGATCTTAATTAGTTTCATAAATTCATAATTTGACTCGGCCCATCTAACGTCCACTGATTTAAAATCGATGACCTCACACACAGACTTCGGATCGGCTCCATAATCGTCACGTAACCTGATCCACTGGCAGATGAGGCTTGCCGATAGTGTGAAAATTGCATTAATATAGACCCTTCCGCCGGCAGGTTTCTACGGTGCACTTTTCATATTCTCATTCAGATTATTAGGAAAGCCACCGGGGAGTTGAGACGCAGCCGTCGCCGAGCTCCGAATGGGTTTTATTGATCTGTTTTGTGGCGGTGGGATGAAAGTAGCAGCGCGATCAGAGAGGCTCTCCGTTCAATCCCCCGAGTGTCGTCTCATTATGCAGTATCACTAAGTACATTTCCACTGTTGGGAAATCATTATAACTGATTTTCTCCCGTGATGTCGCTCTATTTTCCGCGCCGTGTCGTTGCATTACACCGAAGAGCACGAGAAAACACAATCGGCAAATTGACAATGACAGTAATGTTTTATTTAGTAACACAAAGTAGTGCAACACTCGGTCAGGTTATAAGCGAGTTTGACAAGTTTACTTGGAGAACGAAGTGAAACAAATTGTCCAGGGTATTCTGTTCTTTTCACTTCTTGCGAGAAGTAGCCATTAGAAAATCAGTTCTACTGTTTTCTATTCTTGTACGAGTATTCAAACTCTATTCTGGGTCCGGATATTTTGTAGCATGAAGAATCTCACTAAAATAGCAAATAAGAAGAGCGTTACGGAACAGCCAAGGCACCCAGTGTGTCATCAGGCGAAGCTCCAGCTGGCCCAGAACAGCAGCAGGGTCCCGGCATACACAGCCAGAACAATCAGGTAGAGGCGGAAGAGGAAGCAGTCGAGCTTTGAGCAGAGTGCCAGCCATTCAGCCTGAGCCGCAGTCTCTGTGTCCTCCTGGGAAAAGGCCAGACGGATGGAAAGCAGCTCCCTCAGGAGCCACTCCAGGCTGGAAGGATTTTTCTGAATGTCGATCAGCGATTCCAGGTCCTCTTCCAGCGAGGCCTCAAACTCCAAATCTAGGAACCGAATCAAAGAGGGCGAGCAACCCCAGTTCCTGTTGAAACGAGCCGCAAAACTCAACCTGCAAATCTTTTCCCTGAGCATTACCTTCAGAATGGTTGAGTCGGTCCAGAGTTCTCGTGGAGGTCATGGCGCTCTCCGCCAGGCCGTACTTGTCCAGCAGGCAGGCCGACACGGACATTTCCCGGACCTCCTTTTTGCTGTGGTGGAGCAGTTTCACCACCAGGATGGACGTGATCAGGCTGAGCATGAGTAGCGCCATGCACACGACGAAGAACACACCTTTTAATCATGATCAGATTTTTTTTACCGTGAGATCAGTGCGAGCAACAACCGGAGAGCGCAAAGTAATCCATTTCCTGCCTATGAGCGGGGTCGTAACGGCAGTGGCGGGCAGCTCGTCCGTCAGGTTGACTCTGAAGAGGGTGTAACCCAGCAGCGTACTGATTTTGAAGCCGATGCGGGTGCCGCTGCTCACGGGCAGGTAGAAGCTCATCACGTCCACGATCATGAGGAAGATGCTGGGGATAAGGAGGCCCACTACGTACAGCAGGGGACGCCTTCGGATCAACACCTGCACCACAAAAGAAGTCGGCCTTCTCGTCTCATCGGGCAAACCTTTTGACTGCTCAATTCCGTGCACAAGGGTAGTGTTATTTATTCAAGGCCAGGTGACGTTTCTTTGTTTGTTTTGTTTTTGCAAGGGAACACTTTTTTAAAAATGCGCGTTTATGTGTTTTCGGATCACGCTGGCTACTGTAGCCTCTCATGCGCGGCTGTTTGACAGACGGCAGTACGCGTCAGATGTCTATCGCTAATTTGAAAACTGTGCAGATTTTATTCCTTTGTATACCAAGCCAATTTCAAAGTAAAATTCAATTAAATTCGCCCATGAGTGAAAACGCCCCATCTTCGTTTTCATGTACCCGGAAGGTGACCCGGAAATACATAATGCATAAAAAAAAAAAAAAAATACAAAAAATAAATGCATGCATAAAAAAAAAGCATTCTCTTGAGAAAAAAAAAAAAGGGGGGGGAGTCAAGGCAAAGTTTTGTTTGAAATCCAAATGAACACCACAAGCACAAAACAAGTCGTAGTTTTAGAAGACAGATAACGATTAAGATTTTTTAAATTCAATATTCTGTATGTGTACTGAAGTAAAATTGAATAATTTTCCATCCATCCATTTTCTAATCCGCTTATCCTCCACACAGGAAGGGCGGAGCCGGAATCGAACCCCGCACCTCTGCACGGTGAGTTCGGATGTGCTAACCAGTCAGTTTAGGCAAAAAAACAGACCAATCCCTGAATTGGTCGCCAGTCAGTCACCGGGCACATCCAGAGAAAGACACCCATTCACTCTCACATTCGCACTGTCGCTGAGTTTGAACTGAAGACCCTTTGCTTACAGCCAAGTTGGGCAGGAAAAATTGGATGATTAAAAGGCTTCAAAGTTGATCCATCTTTGAACTGCTTTGCTCCACCCCACTTTTAGCTGACACCATGTTTCAACAAAACACATTTTTGATGCAGTGATGTTAAAAAAAAAAAAAAATTTAAAGTCACTTTGTAAAAGCAGATCTATTGGCTCAGATTTGATCTGGCTGGCGTATTTAATGAAAGATCCATCGAGCGCTGATGTATAATGTCATCCATCGAAGCTGTGCAGTGTCGCATGTTAAATGCGTTTGGGGAAAAGGTCGTGCAGCAATACCATCATTTGTAGATGATACTGTATCAAAATGAATGACTTTGTTAAAAAAAAAAAAATCTTTAATACTCAGTGATCCATGAAGTCCTCCTTCATCAAACAGCCCTTGGCTCCTTTGAGCAGCATGAATAGCAGCCATCCCAGCGCTCCACCTGCGAAAGGGCTATGGGGCCATTTGCCTCGCCGCTAACAAGACGTCCATTGATCAGTCAGCCACTGAGACAGTCTCATTATGGTCACTCGCCCTTTCCCTGTCTATCAGAGCCTCTCTTCTTCTCGCCAGCCACAAAACAGCCCGAGCCTCATCATTTGGCGTTAGCTCGCTCGACCAATCCATGAAGGTCACAGCCACTCGTTTTACACTTCACGGTGACTCCACCGTTCGGACGCCTGATAAGCATTAGAAGAGATTTCTATATAAAACCCGTTTGGAACTTGACGTACGTGGAAACAGACGTGGGCGTAGTCAGCGTTGTCCTGCTGGAGGCGCCAGTAGCGCGACGGTATGGAAAGCAGTTCCCACTCGCCGTCATTCATGAACTCCCTCTGATCGTTAGCGATGGCCTCTGCGCTACGCCACAGAGCCAAGTCGATTTCTTTCACTGTAGAAGAGAAGGAGGGGGAGGCAATGGACGGTGAAGATGAAACAGAGGAAAGGAGACCGTTATTCAAACACTGGAAAATAAGAAATAAAAATAAATACGCAGCCGTTCCAATCCCGAAGAGACGAGCATTTCTTAGAAAGTACGCTCTCAAGTATGCTCTCAAGAACATCACAAGACCCGAGTCTGGGTTCTTGATTTTCAGAAACAGCCTGAGACTGACTTATCGAGCATAAAGACTTGCTGCTGTTATTACGCATTAGAAACTAACCCAGGCGGAAGATTAAGTCATTCCCACCAACCGTTTAGACAAGATCTCAATCATTTGTTACTTTACGCCACATTCGTGTTAGCATTCGGTATACATGATCTCAAATGTCTCAAAAGTATTTGGATTCAAAAATCGATTGAAAGGCATAAAGTTGTAGTCGGTGATATCGATACATCAGTATCGACGCGCTCATCGCGAACCTGCGCTCGCCGTCATGTTAACATTTCCTCTGGACTTCATACGACTTTTGGTCTGGTGCCTTCAGGAGAGAGAACGCCCACCTGAGTGGAGCCAACTGCGGAAGGTGAGGCTGCAGTTCTGCTTGTCAAAGGGAAAGGCGTACATTTCCAGGCTGCAGGCCAGTGCCACCTGCATGGGCCGATAGTTCTTCACGCAACCCGACGAGTTGACGTAGACGTACGGGATGGCCGGCGACCTCCCCTCATGCACGCTGGATTGGAAGCCGGAAAAGAAGTAAGGTGAGAGCCTGACGCTAGGCCAGAATTTTCATCTGCTTGTTATGTAACCGTACATCCAGTTTGGCAAGCTTCGGGGTGAAATGTTTGTCATACTGTAGAAGTAGCAAGATGAAATTATAACACTGTGATGTGATCAGTGGCTCCCTTGAGGAACTTGACTGTCATTTACATACAATGGATCACAAGGACGGTAATTTCATAATAGTGGATGGTAATTGTGATTGACGTAGACATACAATTCATTGACGATAATGTCAGGTATCCAGATGGCATCAGATGACAGTGAAATCTCATTGATGCCATCAAATTGGTCCGGGTCCCAAACCAGAAACTCATCTGTCCAGATCTGAAGAAACCACCATGAGAATTTTACTCAACACTGTCATTTATTTACATTTATGAAATTCCTGAGCATGCTTGAACACCTTACCTGTCTGTACCAAATACTTGTGGTAATACTCTGGGTTTTTGAATCCTGAAACAGAAGCCAAACATTTTTTTAAGGGTACAGTGGAAAAAATAGAAAGACGAATTCTTCTGAAATCAGGGTATGACCAAAGAACAGGTTGTTATCTACGATCACGTAAGTGTTTTGGCGTTTTCAAAAAAGGCTCGTATTTACCACATCAAGGACCGACTGCAATATGAAGTCGACAAAGACCGTGGTCGCGCTGCTCCAGTTGTGAACGGGACGAACCCCGCAGTCATATTTCCTCAGTAACGTTCTTGTCAGCTGATTCAGCGCCGATCTTTTCGGCTTCTCCGGAACACTTTCAGCCAAGTGGCCTACAAGATATCCGACTGAATACGCGGTCACGTCACGGGTGAACAACTGAATTATATCTACGTGATTACTTTTGCTCTGCATGCAGTATCTGTCCGCCTCGCTCATGTAATATTGCAGTTAAAACAGTAGCTGAAGATGTTTTTTTCAAGCATTTTTTTTAAGTACTGCATTTCAATAAATAGAACAGCATCTTACCTGACAACAGTAGCAACCAAATGACAGCCATCGAGCTGAAATTCTTCTTTTTCTGTCTTTTTTATTTTTACTCCCCTTTCTTTTCTTTTTTAATACACCAGTATCCTCAGTTGCATCAAATAGGAGCTTGGGTGGTACGGAGTGAAGAGCCAGAACACAGACCAGACTAGTGTGGACATTTTTTTTTTCTTTCTTTGATATTGATCTTCACCTCACCGAGTAAGCTGATACCCCCCAAAGAATGATGGAACACATGAGATAAGATGCTCCTCTGAGGTTCCATCACAGAGGATCACAAACATGAAGTTAATAAAAGTGTGTTTCCTCTTAGCTTTTAAAATATTTTTGTTGATCTTATTGAAACCAGAGAATACTTGTTACATAACTAGACAGTACACGACACTGGTGTCCAACTTTGAAAGAATTTATACTGTGTCCAAGCACAACGGGTAAGAATATTACTTTTATTTTTTATTTTTTTGGACAAAACTGTGATTTCGTGTCCTTGCAGTTGTAACATTGCCACTCTTCTACCAACATTACGATCTAGCATCATTAAGCCTTGTACGTCTCGTAACATTATAACATTACTCTTGCGCTGGCTTTTTAAAAATATAATATTTACATATTTTGTATTTTTATAAATAGTCAAAGACTGGGACACTGCTGGAAAAAATCTTCGCGGGTGGTGCCCCACAACACTCCACCTTATCAATCACGTCTGGCTGCGCGCGCACGTCCGATTTGACGTCGGCTAGGGCGCGCGCACGCCGGACACTGACGAGCCGAGCACGCGCGCGCGGCTCTGCGCTCTCTGCGTGCGACAGATGGCGTGGCAGTGACTCCTCTCTCGGGGCTGAAATTTGAAAACGGGAAGAAATTTGGTTTTCATTTTGCAATGCGAGCCGAGGAGAGCGAAAATGGAGAAAACTCAGCCAACTCGGTGAGCGCAAAAAAAAAAAATGGACGCCGGTGGTGTAATTAACACAAGTGACATGTTAGCATGAAAGCCCCTAACTAACTAACAAAAACTGTTAAAAGTACGACGTGGTTAAACTTTTTTAAAAATAATATTCAGAATCAACGTATGGGAAAAGAAGTTAACACCTCCATGTCTTGGGGATCTCGCTTAACAATTTAAACCATTTAAGTTCATTAAGTTACTGCATTTTACACCAATTTTAGTGATTAATTATATCTCATTTGTACGTTTCGGGTGTTGTTTCAAGTAAGTGTCTTAACACTGTCAAACTACAATCTATCTTTACGGTAAATCCAACAACGAAACAAATCATTTTCCATTTAAATCCATCTAGCTGTTTTAACCCCCGAACACTGAATAAGGTCTCTAACAGTATTTTTGTCAAATTGTTCCTTTGTGTCATCAAACCTGAAATATTTGTTTGGCACAGTGTGTGTATGTGTGCGTAGACAGAGGGAGGGAGGAGAGTCACAGTGGCTTTGTGATGGGAGTCCGCTGGCATGCCGAGCAGAATGATAAACAGAAGCCTGTCCTATCCATGTCAGCAGCTTAAAATAGAGACTAACCAAGTGGGTCTCAAATATACCCTGGACGCCATATAAGTCTGGTCCCCCTGCTCTTGGCTTTCTGTGTGTGTCTGTGTTTGCGTGTGTGATGCATCCACCTGCTGTTGTCGCGACAGGCTTTATATAGCACATCTCACTCAGCAGGCTCTAGTTCGTGTTTAAATGCTTTATGTGTCCACAAGGTGAAAACACGCCTGACAGTTTGTTTGTACTCTTTCACATGCAAAGTAATGTCAGTATCTGGACGGGGTTCCTTTTAACATGTCACCCTCGCTAAGGATAGACTGAAGTCATGGGTTAGAATCAGTTTTCCCAACTTTATTGAAGCGTCATCTGACACTTAGGACAAAGACTTGATTCTCGTGGTGCTCCGGATTCAGTCACCGTCTTGGCTATGACAATGACAGGTTGGCATTTGGGTTTTTGTTGTGCCCATGTGCATCACATGCTTTCAGTGAAGCTCACGAGGCATCGTCTGTTCCGCGTGGGTCATGACTGTGTCAGGCAAACAGCCAAAAGATGTCTGGAGGGGAAAGCCCTTGTTATTTTGAATTGTTTGCTAAGTTGCTTTTTTAGATGTGTTCATAAGTAGATGATAACTGTACAGCGGAGGGGGCTTGAACACAACAGAAGCCATCTTGAGATGTTGGTCGACTTCCGTTTTGGTCGGCCTTCAGTCATGAAAATCAAAAAGCCACATCGCTGATGATAAAGAGGGTCACTTGCCTGAAGTCCTGTCCTGTTCCCACTCTCTTACCTGCCGAGCACACCTGAGAAAATGTTTCATGGTTCGATAAAACCCAGGATTTTATCAGGGGTGTGTAGACTTTTTATGCTCGTATGAAAACATATTTATAGGTCAAGTCCATCTGTTTCTTTGTTCAATCAGCAGACTGAGATACTGATCAACCAGCTGAGGGAGATCACCGGCATCCAGGATCCACAGATTCTCTGCAGAGCGTTAAAAGTAAGACAAAAGACCATTTTATGTTATCTTTCATGTGTGTGTGTGTGTGTTTTTTTTTTTTTTTAATATCAGTCATGTATTGGGTGTGATGAAGTCTAATGAAGCCCTCTGCGTGTATATGTCCAGAGTTCCTATGTGCCCTTTATCTTTTCCTGCATTATCTCCCTACTCACCTTAAGGCCAGTCGAGGTGACATCGGACATGCTGTCGGACTGCTGACAAGTCAGCCGGTGGAGGTTCAGAATGCTGGAGAACCACAAAAGTCCGGCATTCCCGTGGAGGCCTGGGACGGACAGAAGGGTATGATCCATAGAATTTTTATTAGATTTTAGTTTTTTTATATGAGATTTGTTTTTCTATCATTATTCCCAAATGGATTACCGGTTACTATTGGTCCATTGTGCGTCGCATTAAATGAATCCCGCGAAATGTCGACTAACTGCAAAATATTGATTCTGAAGATGTTCTCTTTTCAGCCGTACACGATGAGCTCCAAACGGCCATCGAGCTGAGCCTGCAGGAGTCTCACAAGGCCCAGGAAGAGGAGAGAGAGTTCCATCGGTACCATCTTATTGCTTTCCATAGATTTTTTTTTTTTTTTTTTTTTTTTTTTTGTCACGCAAAACACTCTCCGTTATCCTCATACTGTGAAGCTTAGCTATTTACGGAGGATAGGGACAGAGCCCTGGCACGAATCGTGAAAATCAGCTCATCATGCCTGTAAGGTGTCACAAAATGACAGCAAAGCACTTAAAAAGGAGAGGATCGTGAAAGAAAAAAAACATCTTTGAGTATACCGTTTGGATTGATTAATTTCATTTGTCGCTCCGCATGTCAAGTCAATGGCTGCCCCAATGCCTCGGCAGGGCTCTGGAGGCGAGCGCTGAGGAGAACTCGGCAAGGAGCAAGAGGAAGAGATGCGAGGCGGCCCAGAGCGACATGAGCAGCCCCGCAGACTGGATCCGCAAGGACGACTGGCCCGTCGGCATTCGCAACGTGGGCAACACCTGCTGGTTCAGCGCCGTCATTCAGGTGAGTGGACGCTTGCTTGTGTGTGTTTCCCATCATCCTTTCAATTGTTCTCAGGCATCCCGTAGCTGACTAAAGATTTGCAGATGTGGCCTTTTCCATCATCTCTAACTTGCACCGTCTTGTGATCAAAGTCGGATTTATTCATGTTTTGAAACCAATTTTCCCGTTGAATATATCATCCTGGGTCGAAATATGACTTTCTTCAAAACCTTTGTTCTGGCAATGTTTGAACATTTTTTTCACTGCCTTAACATAAATTGGCGAAAACTTTACTCTATGGCGACCGTGTGACCTGTCCGTAACCTCCAATATATAGAATCCATTTCCTGTTCTACT